AAAAAAAAAAAAAAAAGAAAGAAAGAAAAAAACTAGTGATGTCTATATAAAGCCAAGAATTTAGTTAACAGTAATGAGCCAGCATTAATTCCTTAATTTTGACAAATAGACTGCAGCTATGTAAGATTTAACATCAAGGGACACTGGGTAAAAGATACAAAGGAATGCTGTGCTATGTGCAACTTTTCTACAATTCTGAAGTTATCCCAAAATAAAAAGGTTACTTTAAAAAGAATTTCTAAGAAACCCTAATGTTGGCTCAGTGCCTATGGCTCAAGTGGCTAAGGTGCCAGCCACATCAGAGCTGATAGGTTCAAATCCAGCCCGGGCCTGCCAAACAACAATGACAACTACAACCACAAAATAGCTGGGTGTTGTGACAGGTGCCTATAGTCCCAGCTACTTGGGAGGCTGAGGCAAGAGAATTGCTTAAGCCCAGGAGTTGGAGGATTCCATGAGCTGTGACACCATGGCACTCTACTCAGGGTGACAGCTTGAGGCTCTGTCTCAAAAAGAAAAAAAAAAAAAAGGATGTTTGGATTTTGTTGCAAACTACAGAAACTGGTTCAGACTAACAAGGTGCTCACAGACTGGGCAGGTAGCTAGAAACCCAGGCTTGGAACAGGATAAGGGCCAAAACTCTGGTATCCAGGTAGCAGGAATTCCCCACCTGTCATCTCTAGGCATTTTGGCTAAAATAGGTTAGCTCCAACCTTTTTCTGTCCTTGAATAGTTCACCTAGAGATTTTAGATCTGTGGGAGGAGAGTGTTTAAGGCTTAAACTGGATGCACTGCCTGCCTGCCCGTCCCTGGGCTAAAGGAAGACAGAGTGCCTAATTTACTAAGACTGCATTGTGGAGGAGAGGTCTGGTTCTCCAAAAAGAAAGCAGCTGCCATCTGCTTGCAGGAAAGAGCAAAACATCATGGGTGGCCAGAAAACCACAAATGCCCCTGCACTTGTCACCCAGTAGTCTCCCATTCAAGGCTCTTACCCCAGCCATCTCTCTGGGTTTTTCAATACCCCCCATTCTCCAGCCGCCTGGACCACCAGATGCTCCCTGACATCAAGTACACTGAAGGATCGCTGCTTTCATGTATCCTGCTTTGCCCTTACTCCCCCAAAATTCTCCAAAGTGTGAGCACATAGCACCTTGGTAAATTCTTTCTGACAGCCACTTCCCTGGAATCGTGTGTACTGCTGGTAAAAGTGCTTAGCACGTGTTCTAGGTGTTTGCATACCTGCTTGTCTCAACCACCTAGTGGAGTATTCTTAGAAGATGGGATGAAATCTCTTAATCTTGGATGCCTAGAGTTGCACACATAAGGAGACTCAATAAGTTGAATCCTGTGACATTTTCCCTTAATTTCCCTTTCTCCTCCCACCATTCTAATGTCTGCCCACTTCTAATCAAGACCTAAAATCCTTTCTGCCTCAGACTTTGAGCAAAGCATGGTCCTGGCTGCCTGTGGGCCGTATACTACATGTGATAGCATCACGTATGACCCCTTGCTTGACCTGATTGCCATCATCAACCACGACCGGCCAGATGTTTGCATCCTGGTAGGAGACACCTGTGGGAGTTGGCCTTAGAAAAGGGTTTCAATGCAATTCTAAATTTTTAAGAAGCATGTCCAAAACTCCTTTTAAAAATACCTTCTAGGCTCGGAGCCTGTGGCTCAAGCGGCTAAGGCGCCAGCCCCATACACCTAAGGTGGCGGGTTCAAATCCCCAGCCTGGCCCGCCAAACAACAATGATGGCTGCAACCAAAAAATGTCCAGGCCTTATGCCGGGTGCCTGTAGTCCCAGCTACTTGGGAGGCTGAGGCAGGAGACTCGCTTGGGCCCAGGAGTTGGAGGTTGCTGTGAGCGTGATGCCATGGCACTCTACCCAGGGGGATAGCTTGAGGCTCCGTCTAAAAATAAAAACAAAAATACCTTCTAGTTCTTAATGTTACATCTTTGGAGAGGAGTACTCCATCTATCAGCCTTTATTAAATTTAAAAGCCTAGCGGCATTTGCCACCCTTCATTGATTTTATAGTATTCTTACCTCTGTCTCATTACTCTAAGTTCTGAGCTGACCTCTTTTTAAAGCTCAAAGTACTACTCTGTGTGGTAATCAATTTCTCTTATTAGGTGTAGAAAGCCAGAGAAAAAGCCCAGTGGTAGAGGGGGCAATAGTACTGGTTATGGGGCCCTGGAAGCCTCCCTCCATCTAGGATACTTGCCTCTGCTTGTGAAATTGGCTGGGCCCTCCCCCTAATCCATCTGCTAACTGTTCCCAGCCGATACAGGTAACCTTGGTGGGACAGATAGACCCTGGGCAAAGAACTGTTAGTAGAGATTCTCTTAAATTATTCACAGACGTGTGATTCTGATTTGTTCTTCTGGTACCTTTGCTTGCAGTTTGGTCCTTTCCTGGATGCTAAACATGAACAAGTGGAGGTAAGTGAGTGAGGTTGGAATGGAAGGGTGCTGCATGCTTGCACTCAGTTGAGACCTTATTTTTATTTTCATTTTTTTGGCACATATCCCACATCTGCAACAAACCTGAATAATCCCTGTGGCTGATCAGAGAAATGTTGTACCAGGGCATTTTCAATAAAGGCCTTAGAAAAGGGTTTCTAAGGGTTTTTGGTTGGTGCCCATAGCTCAGTGGTTAGGGCGCTGGCCACATACACCAAGGCAGGCAGGTTCTAACCAGTCCTGGTCCAGCTAAAGCAACAATGACAACTGCAACAAAAAAATAGCTGGGCGTTGTGACATGCACCTGTCATCCCAGCTACTTGGGAGGCTGAGGTCAGACAATCACTTAAACCCAAGAGTTGGAGTTTGCTGTGAGCTGTGACACTACAGCACTCTACCGAGGGTGACATAGTAAAACTCTGTCTCAAAATAAAAGGGCTCAGCGCCTGTAGCTCAGCGGAGAGGGCACCAGCCACATCGTACACTGGAGCTGGCAGGTTCAAACCTAGCCCGGGCCTGCCAAACAACCACAACTACAACCAAAAAATAGCTGGATGTTGTGGCAAATGCCTGTAGTCCCAGCTACTTGGGAGTTTGAGGTAAGAGAATTGCTTAAGCCCAAGAGTTGGAGGTTGCTATGAGCTATGATGCCCCAGTACTCTACTGAGGGTAACATACTGAGACTGCCTCAGGAAAAAAAAGAAAAATCTTGAATTTGGGGGCTTTATAAGGCTATTTGGAAGCCAGGAGAGGGAAATCCAAAAAAATTCATCCTGATGTTCCCCTGTTTATGACACTTGACACTAAGTAAAGCACATGAGCACTGGTATGAATGCAGGTATCTGTGCATCATGGGGCTGCACTGTGAAAGTCCCTTGCCTGGCCACCATCCTAACCTGGTAACCAACATCGTGCTGTCCTTTGCATAAAACAAAAGTGGCCCTTCCCAGGACAGAGGCCTCCTATCCTTTGTCTCAGGATATTTTACCTTCTACAGAAAAGATTTCAGAGCACTCTTCCTTTCAGTCTTTCTCAGATCACATTCAAGACAATTAATTCTTCCCCATCTCCTCTCCTGCCTTCTACTAAACTCAGCTCCTTGTGAAAAGAGCCCACCCCTTTTATATCGTTCTTCTCCTTTGGCTCTTAGCCCCACAGGCATCTAAGAGGAATCTAACATGTTGATGAAGTGAATAAACACCAGATGTCTACCCTCTAAATCTGTCTTCCTTTCCTTTCTTGCAGAACTGTCTACTGACAAGTTCGTTTGAAGATGTTTTCAAGCAATGTCTACGAACAATTATTGAAGGGACAAGGAGGTCAGAATTCAAAATGCTGGACAGAACCTTAAGTTTCCTAGGTTTTTCCAGAGCTTCTCATTAAGAAACTGGAACCATTTAAAGTTATGGTAGTTCCTGTCCTTTCCATTCTTTTGACTACTGAGATCAGATAGAACCTTTGAACTTCAAGTGCAGAGGCTGAGTTAAGAGGCATCTCTGTAAAACACAAAGATAAACAAACTTGAAAGGAAAAGGTTACATAATCTCTCACTTTTCCCTTGCTCTTTCTTTCCCTTCTTTATTTACTTCCTTTTCTCGTTCCCTTTTATATAAACTAATATTCCATGGGAATCTTCCCAGGATGGTTTTGAGAAGTGTTTGATGACTTACACAGCAAAGTCCTGTGAGGCCCAAAGATCTCATTGTGTGAGTGATTGTTTTGGTGAGCCCGAGTTCTTCCCAAGTCAGTGCTTCCCCAGCAGTGGTAGAAGCTCTCACTGAGGGTGAGGATCTTGAATCTCTGCCATATACCAAACGGAAGGAGCTGTGAAAGGTCATAGCAGTGATGAAAGCTTTGCAGTTCTAATCTGAGAGGAAAGTCGCTGTTCCAGGAAGACTCTAAAGCTGGAAGTAGAAAGTCATTCAGGAAGCCAGCCGCCTCAATTCCTGTCCCTGTCCCTCCCCCTGTCTCTCCAGTGCCAGACTTTGAAATTGGTGCAGGTAATAGATCTTTTCGCAATATTGGCTTGCCTGTAGCTGAGTTTGTAAAAAACAAATGTTCCTGGATCTAAAGCTTTTAAAAACAAATCTGTAACAAAGGTGGTTTTTAAAACAAGATGTCTAATCTTCTGCCCTTTGGCCATGAGAACTGATCCCGGAGTTGATTTGTGATAATACTACCTTCTTGTACTGGCAGCGTGGACCAGTAGAGCAGGCATCACAGTGGGGTGAAGAACGCCCCACCTTACCTTAGTGTTGGAGATTTGAAATGTTCCAGTGATAGCCCATGGCTAGTTCTGGCCCTTTCTCCCTCATTCCTTCAAATGAAGGTGACACAAATGCCTTTCCTCTTTCCCTGATTTGTTGTAACCCTGGTGGAGTTCATCAGACCTGGAGAGTGCTTACAGCTTCTCTGAGATAATCCCCCCCAGAAACAGGAACAGGGCTGTGTCCCCCTTTGTTAGCCCTTGGGGACAGGCAGGGACTGTACCCAGGGCCCCAGTGCTGGCTGGGTGCTTTTAATTTGAGGTTGGGTTCTGGTTTTGGTTCCTTGCCCCATGTGGTATTGACAGCAGTGATAGAAACAAAGAACAAACTAGGCATTGTTAAGGTGGGGGCGAGTGCCCAGCACCACCAGGCACTTTCATCTGCAGCCAGTGTGCGCCATAGGGCAAGGAGAGCTGCTCCACCCTCCTAAAAACATATAAATGGTCCTTGGGTAGAGAATTTCTTTCTATTCCTGAGAGGTCAGAAATGTAGGATATTAAGCTGATTTATCAGTGAAATCTAGAACCAGTGAGAAGGCACACCCTCCCTCACAGGAGCGAAGCAGAGCCCGGGAGTTCTCTTGCTGTCTGAGGAAGCAGCTATGAGGACCCTCCCACCATGATGTGTGAAGTTGTGCAATGCTGAGCATAGTTGGAATTTTTTCTGATCCCTCCCCCTATATTCAGCTTATAACCATGAGCAGGAGGGCTGTTTCCTTCTTAACTGTTGCTCTTCCAAAGCCTACACTGAAACAACAATTTTGTCTCATGACAGCAGCCAGTTTCACCTCAGTACTTTGAGTCCATCACAAACTTTGAGTCCTCAGGATCTGGAGCACAGATTGTACTGTTTACTTTCCTCTAGCACCCAAATCGTGGACTCAGATAATAATTATATTGAATTTCTCAGTGCCTAAGAGATTATAACTAATACGCAAGGTACCTTTGGTCTGGAGTTTTTTTTTTTTTTTTTTTTTTGAGACGGAGCCTCAAGCTATCCCCCTGGGTAGAGTGCCATGGCATCACGCTCACAGCAACCTCCAACTCCT